TTATTTAGCGCTGATGATAGTAAAATTGTTCTAAAATTCTTTTTTTGGCTTTTTGAGTTAAATATGTTTTAGATTAAAATTTTAAATAATGTTACAAGTCATAAATTCTTGTTATATTCTTTAGTTATTACACAATAATAAAACTCTTTTTAAAGTGTAAAAGTTGGAATAAAAGGCAGGCTTATTATTTAAACAATTCAATGTACAGAAAATATAGTACTTTATACCACGAGTTTTATTGTAAATCTATATAATATTGATGGTTTGGCGGCTGATAATTAGTAAAACTATGCCGATTATAATAGAAAATTATAAATTAGTACAAAAATATCAAATCAGTAGAGTAATTGAACAAGATTATTAATTAAGCTCAACAAAGGAGTCAAACGGAACAGAAATTTAATTGAAACAAGTTAATACTGAGATCAGTATATTAAATAACTAATTTAATCTATAGATTCAATTTAAGAATTTATAATATAAATGCATCTCTTTCAAACATTAAAAAAACATTTATCAAAATAAAAATTGACTTATTGTTTTATATAAAATAACAATTAAAAGTTAGGAAATAATTACAAAATCGTTTTTAATGCAAGCATTTTAATAGTATATATTATATAATTGTGGCCTAGTAAAAATAAATTGCTATAAAAATTAAATAATCAATTAGGTTATAATTTATAGATATTTTTGTTCTGGACTTATTTTTAGGATAGTGACTCGGTTCTCGGAAATGGTCGATTGAATAATTTCCATTCGCACCTGCCACAGGAAACGTCGTACCAATTGTCGCAACAATAAATAATACATAGACCAAATTGCCGAGATATGCTAATTGATACCAAGGGTTAAATTGTAACGTGAAAATTATTTAATTTTATACATACAATGGGTGTGAAATTTAGCAGAAATAAATTTAATATTAAGAAACTTTTAGTAAAAGTTGATTTGTTCTTAATGTAATCCGAAAAACATTATTTAACTTTTAGAAGTCTAGAACTAAGCAAGCGACGTCTTACTTATTAACAATTAAAACACATTAATAAATTCATTATAATTCAGCAATAAGTAACAACACACATATAATTAGATAAATAAGACATTTATTAATTACTTGAATGATTTCAGGAGAGTTTCCATTTGCTCCAGTTTATTGCTTAGCATGGATATGCTTAGATGTGTTATTTTGCACAGCTAGTATAATGCACTTGTGCACTATAAGTGTTGACAGGTACTTAAGTTTGAGATATCCTATGAAATTCGGCCGTAACAAAACTAGACGACGAGTTATACTAAAAATTACATTTGTATGGCTCTTGTCGATTGCCATGAGTTTGCCATTAAGTCTCATGCACTCAAAAGTAAGTAAACACACTTTTTATCGTATTTTTAATACATATTAGTTTATTATAATTATTCAAACAATTTTGTAAAAGTTCTTATCAGTGTCATTGTTATAACTTTCTTCTGTCACATTTTTGCAATTAATTATTTCTTTTGATTTCTTCTACGGCGATCTGCAATGAGATTAAATTTTCGATTAAAAGTCTTCAGGAAAGTTTTAGAGATATTACACTTGAAAGAGTATGAAAACTCTTTGGTACAAAATTAAAGTAAAAATCATCGTTTGGAAAGTTGAAGGTAAAAACATTATAATATAATCGAATACAGTTTTTAACAGTAAATATTAACGTATTCTCTGAGTATAATTTGTTGAAAAATTAATTTTTTAAAACGTGTTTAAGGACTATATTATTTATTTAAGTCGAGTAATGCACGCGATGCAGATATATTTAATACATTATCTATTTTACATTAAAGTACAAAATTTAAACTATAGAATCATTAAATCTTAATTGGATTTTATTAATCATTAACAAAATATAGTCAAAGTTTACATATTATGTATTACAATAATATTTAGAACTTAAGAATATTTATTTATTCACTGAAAGATAGAATATTTGTTACCTGTGTACCTAATAGTCATCACTGCTAAAATGATTGTTTTTAATGAAAATTACCATCTAAAAATTTGTAAAAAAATTATAATTTAATTAATTACTTAAACATAATATCAAAGAAAATTATACTACATAATTACAATTAGTTGAAAATGAATTACATTGAACTATTATGTTTCAGAATCTTAGCTCAGTATTGGTGAATGGCTCATGTCAGATACCTGATCCATTGTACAAGCTCATCGGATCTATAATAAGCTTTTACATACCTTTAGGAGTAATGATACTCACGTACACATTGACCGTCCGACATTTAGCGGCAAAGAGACAAAATCTACAAACTGGGATAACACGAAATACAAACCACAGTGAGTTATATACTTTCATTAATTATATTATTAAAAAATATATCACAAAATACGAAACTAATAAATAGCAATAGTCAATGTATAGTTCTATTAAATGTTATATTAAATATAGCTCAAGGAAAACATGTTTATGTTTTAATATTACTGTAAATATGTAATAGACAAATAAATTAATATGAAAAAATACATTCTACTTTTTACATTAACAACAATATTTTAAAACGGTTATCTGTTTACAAAATATACTATATTAATAATATCACATTGCAATCTATACGATAAAGAAATTGATAATTTAAAATATGATAATTTAAAAACAAAATTTTGATGAAAATCGTATGATTAATTACATAGAATTTATGTTGATAATAATTTTTAGTGTCATCAGGAAGTAATATTTTAATGCATTTCAAAATATCATAAATTATAATAAAATCTTTCTTGAAGTGTTAGGGAATGCATATACCAGTTTTGTATCAATTCTCTCTAATGTTTTTTTTTATATTTCATTCAATCATTTATTTTAGAACAAAGAAAGGTTATTACGACTAAAAATTTAACACAACAAATCAATGTGAAGGGGATACAACCCTCTAAGTCAAAATATTACATACATTTCAATAATATATCTTCCATTTCCAAATTATTCCTTGTATTCTCAATTAAATTAATATTTAAAAGATACATTCTACATTTATTAAATTATTTAATATAAGTTTAAGTTAGCTAATAAATTTAAGATATAATGACTTATTCATAAATCGAAATATTCTATAACCGGATTTTTAATTCAAAAAATCAATTTACATCTAATAAATTAACAAGTGAGAAGCTATCCAAAACTATTAAGCACTCTATATTTTCAATTAATATGTAACCTTGAAAATGTAAAAATTACCTGAAAAATAAAACTTTCTAACAGTATAATGTGTATAACATTAAAAATATTTCTATTAAAAAACACAAAATGCATGTATTTCTTTTTTTAATAATAAAACAATAAAACAGTTATGTCGCATAATTTACCAATAAATATGTAGTTTCAAAAAGATATTTAGTTGAATAAAAATAAAATAAGCTACTGTTAAGTCTAAAAGCTAGTAATATGTCATTATATTTTATGTTTTTAATTTTATTCTTTTAAATTTCATATTTACTCTATATATATTAATTAAACAAGATAAAAGGACTTAATCTTTCATAAAATGTATTGCGAAAGCTTTAACTCTTTGAAAATTATAAAAAAACTAAAGCCGTTTATATCAATTAGTGCATAGTAGTCAGTTTAACATATATTTTAAAGTTCATATTTACCATTATTAGTAAAAAGTACCAGCAAGAACAAATTGTAGAATGTATCTATATATATACATGTATAACATGCCTTTAACTTCATAAAAGTTATTGATCTTGTTATAGATCAAAACAGTATTAATCAATAACAAGTACAACATATTTTTATTCTAACGGTTTAACTATAGTTTATAGCTATAAACAAATGATTATTTTAAACATGTACAACACTTGCTTTTGGTCTTTCGATTTTTTTTTTAAGTTATCATATACATATAATTTATACGCTACAAAATGATTATTAAATTGATCAACATATCTAAAGGAGTGTCAAAAAAATTAAAACTCGTTTGAGTACACTTAAAACTATATTTTTACTAGCAAACAAATGATAAGAGGGTATTATAAAATAAATTTATTGGTAATAATTGTTTAAACTGAAAGAAAATTAATTAATTAACTGAAAATTGTACAGGTGGAAACAACGGAAGAAGTTGGCGTAGGATTCTAAGGAGAAATTACAGGAGAACAAGGTCGGATGAGTCGGATGTTCAATTAGCTAAAACAGGAGAACCTGTGACTGCGATAAACTCAGTGACTGTAGACGAGAAAGAAGCCAACCGTGAGACTGCACTGGATAAACCACAATTTTCAAACACAAGAACTGATAAAACTACCAGTCCTAATATTGGACAGAGCATTTATGATAACGAAAATATTAAAATCAACAATCACGTTCAACAGCCGAACACGCCTATTTCCAGTTGCACAAGCACTCCGTTCAAACATCATCTGTCAGCTTGTTCCACCGATACGGAAATGACTTCATTGGATGCTCGAGAACTATGGTTACCTGATTCGGAACTCACACCGTCGACCATGTCAGCTTTACATCAATTTGGTGCAGAAATGCTACGCCTATCCCGAGGTCTAGAACAAGTGGCATCGTCACCAGAATCTAAACCCACCTCTCCAACTAGATCTAGGTAAAAAAGAATTATTATTAGAAACTACGAAAATATATTATTTTACATTTATTTCACATTAAATGACACTTAAGAATTTATTTAATGCTCAACTGAGCAATAATTTATAAATAATGCATCAGATAAACAAAGTTATGGCTAATTCGATGATAAATTAGAGCATTTATGAATTTATTAAAACTTCTGCTATAGAAACTTTCTTTAACTATCATTTAAACATTTCGCTCATTTTTTTTTTTTTTTTTTTTT